GGGCCCCTCGGTGGGGCCGAAACCAGCTGCATGCAGCAGATTTCGTAACCCCCCCTTTCCCAATCCCCCCCTTTCGTCCGGCCCGACCCTCGTCCTGCCGTCCGACATCGTCAAACACCACGGGTGCGGCCCCAGGTCCGGTCTTTCCGCTGCATCTGTCGAGCCGGATCGATCTGGGATGGCCCCGGGGCCTAAAAGACAGGGCGAAGACGCCCGGCGAGGCAGAACACTGCAGCGCCGGGATCTCAGGGTATACGCCATCTCCTGTTCTTCGGGGGAGGAGATCCAGTCGCCTTGGGAGCCACGCTGTGACGAAAGATGGTGATGGTGAAGGAGATGGTGAGGGCCGACACTCACACAGCACAGCATCGTCCAGAACATCACCACTATCTGAGTACCGATACCGCTACTCAGCGGACCTCTTGCGGGCTGCTTAATGACCAGGATTTCGACGCAAATCCGGCAGCGACGACGAGGGCCTCCCAGGAGGAAAACAAACGAAAACACGGGGCAAGTGTAGCTGCATGGGTACCCTTCCTTCCTCCGACGATCCTCATCATCACCATCACCATCACCATCACCAGGACGAGGAGGAGGAGGAGAAGGGAGGAGACGAGGAATAGGAGGGGGAGAAGGAGGAGGAAGAGGAGGAGGAGGAGGAGGAGGAGGAGAAGGAGGAGGAGGAGGAGCAGAAGGGTGGAGACGAGGAGGAGGAGATGGAGGAGGAGGAGAAGGAGGAGAAGAAAAGAGGAGGAGGAGGAGGCGGAGGAGGAGGGAGGAGGCGGAGAAGGGAGGAGGAGGAGGGGGAAGAGGAGGAGGAGGAGGGGGAGGAGGAGAGCACGGTCAAACATTGCTGCCTGCCTATTCTCTCCCCCTCCTGGTGCTGCCTGTTGTGTGCATGGGCCTAGGTGAAGGGCTGGACGGGGAATGGTTGCTGTGCCTGTTGGCTCCGCCAGTGTACGCCCACTTTAAAAAAGCAGTACCCGTCCAATGCAGCACAGTGTACCGTGCTGCCCGACACTGTCAGTAATCATGCCCAAGGGGGCGAAGGCTCTTCTTATCCAATCTCTATTTTTCATCCCATTTCTGTCTCTGTGCTCGCCCACTTTACGTAAAAGGCAGTAACCCCCGCACACAAATTGCAATTCTGTATGCCCGCTCTCGCAGATGTCACCGTCTACGCCGGAAGTTAAGGGCTGAGACAACTTTACGAGGGTATGGTTGTCTAGCTCGATGGCTGCTGCTGCTGTCGTCATTCGTCCACCATCCCGCCTCTGCTCGTCCATATCCAGTCGTGGCTTCGATCATCTGCCATCAATCGGAGAAGAAGGAGAGGAGGAGGAGGAGGAGGAGGAGGAGGAGGAGGAGGAGGAGGAGGAGGAGGAGAAGGAGGACGACGAGGGGCGATTGAGGAGGAGAAGGAGAAGGAGAAGGGAGGAAAGAACATGGAAGGAGGGAGAGGAGAGTAGGGGAGGAGGACGAGGGACGGCGGAGGAGAAGGGAGGAGGAGGGGGATGAGGGAGGAGGAGGCGGAGGAGAGGAGGAGGCGGAGAGGGGGAGGAGGGACTGAAGGGGAGGAGGAGGAGAGAGGAGGGAAGGAGGAGGAGGAGATTAGAGAGAAGGAGGAGGAAAGGACTAGGAGGGAGGAGGAGGAGAGGAGGAGGAGGAGGTAGGAGGAGGGATGGAGGCGGAGAAGGGAGGAAGGGAGAAGGAGGAGGGTATGAGGGAGGAGGAGGAGAAGGAGGAGCAGGAGGAGGAGGAGGAGGAAAGCGGAGGTGGAGGAGGGGGACAGAGGAGGAGGAGAGGAGGAGGAGGCGGAGGAGGGGAAGGAACAGGAGGCGGAGAAGGAGGAGGGCCAGGGGGACGAGAAGTAAAAGGGACGAGGAGGAGGAGGAGTGCTAGGAAGAGGATGAGGAGAAGGAGGAGGACCAGGAGGAGGAGAAAGGAGGAGGAGGACCAGGAGGAGGAGAAAGGAGGAGGAGGACCAGGAGGAGGAGAAAGGAGGAGGAGGAGAAGGGAGAAGGAGGGGAAGGAGGAGGGGGGGGAGAAGAAGAGGGAGGAGGAGAAGGGATGATGAAGGAGGAGGGGGAGAAGGGGGAGTAGGAGAAGGGAAGAGGGAGGGGGAGGATGAGGAGGATGAGGAGGAGGAGGAGGAGGACTAGGAAGAAGGAGCACAAGGAGGAGAACGTGAAGGAGGAGGAGAAGGAGAAGGATGCTTATGAGGAGGAGGAGGAGGAGGAGGAGGAGAGAGGAGAGGAGAGGAGGAGGAGAAGGAGCAGGCTGATGATGATGATGATGATGATGATGATGATGATGAGGGGAGGAGGAGGAGGAGGAGGAGGAGGAGGAGAGGAGGAGGAGGAGGAGCAGGAGAAGGAGGAGGAGGAGGAGGAGAAGGAGGAGGAGGAGGAGGAGGAGGAGAAGGAGGAGGAGGAGGAGCAGGAGGAGGAGGAGGAGGAGGAAGGAGAGAGGAGGAAGAGGAGGAGGGGGAGGAGGAGGAGGAGGAGGAGGAGGAGGAGGAGGGAGGAAGAGAAGGAAGAGGAGGAGGAGGGGAAGAATGATTGTGGGCAAGATGCGCAGACGAGCGGTGCCGAGCCACCGAGCGCTGCAGCACCATCGCCGCCTCCAGGCCACACACGGCTGCCAGCACCATGTGCGGGCAAGACGCACATCCACATCCACTGCGTCTTGGAGCTTCGGCCTCCCTGCCACAGACAGAGGCGCAGTGGATGGGGATGAAAATCTGGCCCTGGAGGCGAATTAGTGCTGGATGTCCATCAGTATTCCCTGCGCCTCGGCCTTGTGACATGTGGCGCCCCTTCGCAGAGTCAGAGAAATCTTGCTCGCAGAACTCAGGGGGAGACCAGCTCGGGGCGAAGATCGAGCTTGAAGCGGCGATACATCGCCGACCGACGGATCGGCGATGGACCCCCAAATCTGGGCCGTCTGGGAACTAGCCACTCCTAAGCATTCCCAGATGGCGCCGGCGCGAATCGTGGCGTGATCAACCCCTCCCCTGCATCCCTCCCCACCCCCCGGTCACCCAGGGGGGGATGACAAAACTGTCCTCAGGCCCTCCAAGGAGCGACGTGGCGAGCACACCCGCCGAGGATTACCGAGAAGCGGAAGGAACTGCTTCCCGATCTGTGCCGCCGGCTCACAGGCCGCGCACACGAGAGCGGTAGCCGGTGCACCTCCTGTAGACGAGGCCTTCCGCCCCCATGAGGACGCCCAACTAGAACCCTCCTCGGTGCGAGGCGGGCATTCCGCAGACTCTCGGCCTCTGGGGATTCCGCAGACTCGCGACCAGAGGAAGGCGCAGGCAGCCTGGCCGAGCAGATCCAGCAGCCCTTCCTCGTTGAGCAGCTGGGGGTGCTTCTTCCCCTGGGGGAGCAGCGCCCGCGAGACCGATGATGACTGTTCCCAATCAAACGATGCACGGTCTCGCCAGCAGGTCTGTCGGGACCCCGCCCCCCGCCCGCGCACAGGGGGGGGAGGAGGTTGGGGATGGAGGGAAGGAGAGAGGAAGGATGAGGGAGAGAGGAGGGAGGGATTCCCTAACATCGACTGGACAGCTGATGACGTACACCTGCCAGGCTGGCGAGGCCTGGTGGAGAACACGCAAGAACAGTGAATCATGCTCATCTGAATTAAGGCCGAGCTCTCATGCCACCTCCTCCTCCTCCTCCCCACGGCGCAACTCTGGCACGTGTGCGAGCTCGGCCAACTCACCCGGCGGAAAGAGAGGAGAGAGGGAGAGGAGGTAGGGGAGAGAGTGAGGAGGGAGGGGGAGAGGGTAGGTGAAGGACGAGGCAGGCGAGGGAGGGGAGGGACGAGGGAGAGAGGAGGGAGGAGAGAGGGGAGGAGAGAGGGAGGGCCCGGCCCCAGTGGCAGGGTTCGGTTCCTCCTCCTCCTCCTCCTCCTCCTCCTCCCCACGGATCCCGGCACTCCCCTCGCACGGAGCGCGTGCCCCACAGTAGAAATTCCGCACGCGCCTCTGCGTGGCGCGTGCCGCAGGGGTCCCAGCCGCTCTGCCCGGCGAGGTGCGCCGTCTATGATATGACTACCTATGCCAGACCACCCCGACCCAGCCCGAATAGCCAAATCTCTGGTTTGGGGGCGTACGGGTTCAACGCTGCCGCCACGAAACAATTAAGGAACACGGAGCCCCTCCCCCACGAAAAGGGTTCCTTACTCAAGCCGCGCACTGTACGCCCAGGAACGTGCAGGAATAAACACGCCCTGCAGCCCAAGCTCAAGTACGGCAGGTTCGTGTCGTGCCGACCCCAGCGTTGGTTTTTGACACCGCAGGGATCGTTCAACCTCGAACGATCGGCCGCTGCCGCAACGTCCGATCGTTCAACGTCGATCGATTCTGGGTCGCCAGCGGCGTTCAACCTTGAACGCCCACGCTGGGGTCGCCGCTGGTCGACACGACGCAAACCTACCGTACGGGTTCAACGCTACCGACGACCCCTCCCACTGAGAAGGGAAGGGCAAATTGGGGCATTCGGATTGGGTTGGCGTGGTTTGGTTGGTGGTGGTGACCAGGGACTGACAGAGAGGCTAGGCAGCGCGCTACTCGAAGTTGCATACAGCCAAGCTGATGCAAGAAGGAACGCTGCATAAGGAACAAAACCCCTCTTGGGCACCAGAAGAGCCAGGCTGCACGAGGAGGGCTGGAGGAGCCATTACGGAATGACCTCGGGAACAGAGAACTCGTTCTGGACCCAACGCGGTCCTTATTTCAGCGTCTTGACTGTAGAGTTAGGCTAATCGCCAAGATCATTGTTGTTTAGCGCTCTCATGACCGACTAGCCTTCGCTAGCGCCCGTAAAGAAGGTCGGCAACGTCGACTGTTCGTCCATATCGAACCTGATCCGTCTTCCATCGGTGGGAACAACTCTCTCAGGACCCCCCCTGAACCAGGACACTGCCAGCATGGGCGCCGACAGTCCCACGTGGAGAGGACGAAGACTGGAGGATGCCTCCACCCACGGCCGCGGCTTCCGCGGGCGAGCCAACTTCCTGGCCTGCCCAGGTCCCCGCTCAGGCTGCTCCCTCTCTCCGGGTCGGGGGCGCGCAACCATGGATCAGCGACCCATGGATCTGGCGCGCGGTCGCCAGATCCATGGATCGGAGCTTACGCCCTCTCCCCAGTGTGGCCGGCGCCGCTCTGGTCGGCGGCGGACATCCGCGCTGTCCCATGGAAGCGGGGCCCGTCGCCAAGCCACGCCCCCCTCGATCCACGTCTGCGAGCGCCCGAGCGGGGGCGCGCTCCGACCAGGAGCCCGAGGCCGCCCCGGGAAGAGCCCGCAGAGCCCAGGAGGAGTGGCCGAACCGAGGGAGAGACCGAATCCAACCGTGCCAAGAAGCCGACGTTGGCGGCGCGCATAGGGGAAGGAGGGTGCGGTAGGTTTTGCGCGGCGTCGACGCGCGCAAACTTTGTTGATACCGCGTCGATCGTTCAACCTTGAATCGATCGAGGCCCCGATCGTTCAAGGCTGAATTCCGTCGGGTCCAACAGCGTTACAATGTCCCTCGGTTTTTCCGCGTCGTTCTATCATGAAGCGTTCAACCTTGAACGCCGTCGCTGGCGTCGCGGGCGCGCCATCGCCGCACGAACCTAGCGTAGGGGGAGGAGAGCAGGCTTCTTGGAAGGAGGCTGCTTCTTAGAAGGCGCCGGCGCCACATCCACAGGCAAGACCCACGCCTTCCAAGAAGCAGAGGCGCTTCTTCTAAGAAGCCTCCTTCCCTCCCCCTCACGTGACCCACGAATGCGACCCAGAGGGACGCAGCGGAGCACCGACACCCTCGCACGCGCCGAGCCCTCGCCGTTCCTCTGAATCTGCCAGGGCCACTGCCCCAGGCGGGCGCCCCGCCTCCAGCTGTGGGGTGCCCCGTGGCCGCATCGCCAGGGGACGGGAACAGCGACACCCACCCGCCGGAGAGGGGCGGCTGCGGCTGGCGTCCCGCACTCAGCGGTGGGCAGATGTCCGCATTGCCCAAGCTGCGCACACCAAAGCGCTCTTACCTCCGACGGCGAGGATGAGGATGAGGAGGAGGAGGAGGAGGAGGAGGAGGAGGAGGAGGAGGAGCAGGAGGAGGAGGAGGAGCAGGAGGAGCAGGAGGAAGAGGAGGAGCAGTGCAAGGTTTTGGAGTATCAGTAGCGGGCCCCCGACCTCTCGAACATCTCCCGGGAACTGGCTTCGCGCCCCGAGCACCTCTGTGAACAGCCCCGGGGTCCGCAGCTGGCCCGTGGAAGTCGACGATGCAGGAAGACATGAGACTCTGCATGCTCGAATCTCTAGATGGGTCTCTACATCTCTAGATGAGGTCTGCGCATGGGTCTCCACATCTCTAGATCATTGCCGCAATGTACGGGGCGTCCGCCCAATGGCTGCACGACAACGCCTCGTGTGCTGGTCGGGCGATGGCAGGATTGGGTTGAGTGGGACCTGGTGTAGTGATCTGTACCAGGGATGCCCCCCCCCTTCCATTTCACTAACCGGAATTGCCGTCACCCGAAAAGCACCAGCTACGGCAGACCTGGTTTAGTGATTCCAATCCATATTTTGGGCTTCGGGGCCCAATCACTAACCGGCTCCCCGTAACCAGGGTTCTGGCTATACCCGAGCTGGATGGGTGTGTTGGGGCGCCGGCCAGTGTCCGCACCTCGCCGCCCCGTTGGCACATCGTGCCGTGGCTTCGGGGGCAGAGTTGGGGGGGACTGGCTCGGGGGGGGGGGAACATCGATCTTGAACATGCGGGAACCAATCAACCTACAGTACGGATGCGCGTAAGTGAGAGGCGGTGCAATCCATGCTGGGGTCCTTGGGCCCCTTGTGGCTGTGGAATGTACCCTGCAGCAGGTGCAGCAGAACAGAACATGTGAGATATCGCTGCCAGAGGCACAAGGGCGTGTGACGGAAAACTGGAAAACTTCATACTCCCCAAACGGGGACGATAGACCGGCGACAGGCTGCCCAGAGCGAATCCGCACGCGCCTGGGCGGGGTAGGGCTCTGGGGCATCGGCGACGGATGGGCGATCCGGAGTCGATGCATCCCTCCCCGAGCTTACCCCTTTGACGTCGCCCCTGACACGTGCGGCTGCCCGGCTTTCGCTGGGTGGCCGCCTCGTCCCCACGCCGTCGCTGCCCCACGCGCCAGCTGGCATTTCGGCACATACGACACGCACGATGGGCAATCTTGCTGTGGCATCTGGGCACAGAAGACACGCACGACAGGAAATCTTGTTGTGAGAAATAGTTTCGTGGGCACATCGCTCGTCGACCGTCGAGGATCTTGCGGTGCCCCAGAACTTCGATTGGGGTGCCCCTGAACTTTGATGTGTCCCTGGGGCCAACGGTCAGGTCAGGTTAGATGGTCGTCAGGTCAGTCGCGCCTGGGCAGGCGCAAGATGATGAATGAAAACGCATTGACAGAGGGGAGGGACGCACGACGGGTGAGGACGCGAGGCGAGGCGGAGTGAGCGAGAGGAGGAGTGAGCGAGCAAGGGATTTGTGTGGGGCACCGGGTAGCAGAGCGTTTCCTTCTTTGGTGAGACTGCTGTGTTCTCGCACGGTGGGTGCACGCCGCCACCTCGCCGCCGACTCGGGCGCCCATTCGCTCCGAAGGCAACAATGCGACCCAATCTCTTCCGCCGCTCAGCTGTTGGCAAGCACCCATTTTCAGCGTCCGTTTCCCTTTAGTCGTGTTGTTGTACTGGCGTGGCGTTCGGAGCCCTCGCCCCGTCCCGTGGCCCCTAGCCCGATGCCTCTGCAGGACCAAAACAGGACCACGCACGCCACACGAGACTCACTCCTTGACCCGCCTCCTCAAAGTGGGCAGCATTCAGGTACAGGCGCTTCTGGCTGAACAAACAAGAGCGAGACACCAGATGAGAACAAAACTACACAACGCCTGCCCAAACGAGATCACGCAAAAAAAAACATGTGAACAACCTTCTCCTTAAGCTCGAGGTACTTCCGGTACTTCGAAGTCTCCTGCGCCCAGTGAGGAACGCGTCAAAGGAGGGATGCGAGGGATGCGGATGGTTCCTGTCGTGTCGAAGTGAACGCTAGCCCTTGACAGCGCGCAGAACGATCAATCTTGAAGAGATATCTGGTATCCGACAGCTGGCGTCGAGCTCGATCAAGGCTAGCCTGGCTGAGCGGCCCACTGACGAAACCAACAAAAAACCTTCGAATGAGGAATTCCTGGGGGCCCTCACGACGTCCCCTACTGAGATGATCGGATGGTTTGGCACGGATTAGCCATGATAGCTACGTATATAGCCGGGGTATACGAATTAGTGATACATATTTTACGGCCATACAGAATTTCACGTGTCATAGCTGAACCTTGCCGAGTTTAGAAAACATGATTGGGAACTGTGGTGAAACTGCACTTCTGCATTGTATAAAACATGAGTAACCGCCGCATGCGCAAGCCTACGGGTTCCGCCGCGATCTCCCGCTCCTTTCTGTCTGACCCCCTCTTGGCCCGAACCGTGCAGCTCAGCTCGTGCCCTCCAGCAGGCTGAGCTCCGCGGGGGCCCCCAAGGGGAGGGCCTCTTCGGTGGGCAACAGCGGTGCGCTCCCGCGCCGATCGCGAGGCCGAGGCTGCACGGCCCGTGCCCGAGCCCTGCGCACATCTGGGGGCGCCCCGCTCCTCGCCCTCCGCCCCCGCACCGCAGCAGCTCGCATCGACGACCGAGCTCCACGCCACCGCGGCCACCTCCTTTTCACGCGCCTCCCCCGCGGCGGCGTGCCCCCCCTCCTGGCCCCTCTTCGGCGGCGCGCGCCGCGGCCGTCTCCTGGCCGGCCCCGCCCTGACGCGGAACGGGGCCGCGGCAGTGCGCCAAGCCACCGCGGACGCTGCGCGACGGGACCCCCTCAGAGGCGCAACGCTCTCCGAGACGGCATCGCAATGCTCGAACTGACACTGGAAAGGCAGGGGCCGCATCCTCTTTAAATACCCATCGAGCCCCGCCCCTCCTCAACCTTCCCTGAAAACAGCCTGAAGCGAACAGAACAGCATCACAGGGGCAAGGAACGCTTATAGAACACTAGCGTGGCCTTACAAAACAGAGTATGACATAATCTAGCACATCGGATTACACATAAACGGACAAACTAGAGTAAGAAAAGATAGGGAGAGTTGGATAGGGCAGGGCAGAAGTGCAACATAGTGTGATCCAAATAACTTATGCGGAATGGGATGATAAACGGCAATCGAGTAGAGTGTTTTCGGGCATGATATAACCGAATAAAACAGTAGAGATGGCAGGGCAGAGAAGAGCAAGGTATATCAGAGCAGACTAGGGTCGGGCTGACTGGAGCACAGTATATAGAGAAGGGCACAGCCTGCGTGTGGAGTTGGGCAAACAGCAGTCCAGTCCAACCCACTTCGATCTACTCCAAACTCCAACCCATTTCGGTAGGTTTGAAGCAATCCACTTCGGTCCAAGATGGTGCCGGCTGGAACTGCCCATCTGAATGGCCGTGAGCAACTCAGCTGGAGAGGGCGCGGGGATGCGCAAAGAGGAACCTGGGCATGAGCGGGCAAGTGCTCAGTCGCCGATCGCAGTCGATACGAGCCAGAAGCGCCCACAACTTCAAAGCTGACATGCGACCCAGGCACTGCACGCGGCGAACAGAACTAACGATTTTCACCTGGCATTGGCGAGCGCAACAAATGCGAACTACTTCCACCGCGTCACTGGTACCGGACCAACTTGAGGGCCACACCTAATTCTTTGACACCCAATGCGCCGAAATTCGTTGGCTACACCAAATTGATGGCACACCACGAACGACGTAATGCATTGGCACGCGACAGCGCGTGAAACCGACAACAACGCTATGCTACCTGGATGCAAACAGCACCCGCTCTGCACAGTATGAGCTTGGGAGGTAGGGTAAAACCAAAGTCGGGCGTGAATACAAAAACAGAGTCGTCTACCACACCTTGCAAAACCCATGCGGGACCGAGCACTGGTATCGCTCCGGGGTCGTCTTGGAGCCCTCGGGGGCGTCTCAAGAGCGCCCCAAGAAGGCCAGAGAAGCAAGACGGCCGACGACGACGACGACGACGACGACGACGACGACGACGGCGGCGACGGCGACGACGCCGACGTCGACGACGACGAAGACGACGACGCCGACGCCGACGCCGACGACGAAGACGACGACGACGACGTCGCCAACGAAGACGACGACGAGGGAGGAGGGAGGACGACGACGGCGACAACGACGACGACGACGACAACGACGACAACGAGGGAGGAGGGAGGACGGCGACGACGCGAACGACGAAGCAGGAGGAAGGACGGCGACGCCGACGACGACAACGACGAGGGAGGAGGGAAGACGACGACGAGACGACGACGACAACGACGACGACGACGAAATAGGAGGGACGACGACGAGACGCCGACGACGGACGACGACGACGACGAGGGAGGAGGAGGAAGGACGACCACGGCGACAACGACGACGGAAACGACCACGACGCCAAAGAGGACGACGACGACGAACACGAGGAAAGACACAGGACGACGTAGGCGACGACGACGACGACGCGGGAAGAGGGAGGACGGCGACGACGACGACGACGCCGCAAGAGCGCGCGCGCGCACGCTTTTGTTGAACATCCGTGTTGCGAAACCTTGTGTTTTGAAGGATTTCGGCGTACGGGCGCGACGACGCGCGCGTCTGCACTTCGTCTTATTTTGTGCAGAGGATTCTCGCGACGGCACACGCGCAAGGGCGTTCGACAGATTTCGACATGCGCGCGCGACGCCCGTTTGGTAACATGTTCTGAAAGTCTTAAACAACCAATGGTTTTCTTAAGATTTCGCATGAGCTCGCGCGTAAGCTTTTGTAGCAAATCAGTGTTACGAAACCCTGTGCTTTTTATGTGTTTTGGAAACTCGATTGCGAAATCCTTCCAGGACCGAAGGTTTTTCAAGGATTTCGACATGCGCGCGCGACGACGCGCGCGTGTGCACTTCGTCCCATGTTTTGCAAGGGATTTGCGAAAAAGTGCTGTGTTCGAACAAAAAATGCCACCGCATAATGTCTTTTTACAAGGGAACCTCAGTTGGGGGGAACCCGGTTGGCCTGGGACATTGTGATTTCATATTTAAGATGGACATGTGGTCATATGTGGTTTACATACCCGAGAGGGGGGCAATAACGCCGGGGGGGGGTAGAGTCTATTCTCTCTTCTAGAAAGGAGAATATGTGTCTTGCAATCCTCGTGGGGCAATATATGTGAGCAGGCTTGCGTGCAGCCCAGAATCCCTTTCTGGCCTTACCACGCCCTTAAAGCTCCCATCCTGCTTCTTTACTGATGCGACAAAGTCTGGGCAAGGAGAATCTCGCACTGGTTGTTCTCCCCCAAGCCTACCCCTCCCTTAGATCAGGGGGACGTAAGACCTGGGCACAGGGGACTCGGAAATCCCCGACGAGGTCGTCAAAAAAATGACGAGGCCGAGCCTGCATTTTGACGAGGCCTCCCGCTGCAGACATCCCACAAAACTCCTCCTCGTCGGACGATATTCGTCGACGTGCACTGAGACAAAGACGAGCAGAAGCTTCCGCGAATTACTATCTAGCCTCCCCACCCTTGCCCCCTCGCAGCCCCCACAGGGCCCCCGCAACTCCTCCACCGCCCGGCCGTCGTCCAGGCGCGCGCCCACCACGAGGTACGTGGTGTTGGAGGACACGCCGCTACCGATCTTGCCGCCCGCCTCCTTGATCCTCTCCTTTTGGATACAAGAAACAACGCAACGCCATGCGACCGTGAACGATCTGGGCAGGGACGGCTCAATCAAAATAATGGTTTCTCGTCTGGTCCCTGGCTGCGGCCTGGCGGCCTAGACGGCGACGACGACGACGACGCACTGGGAGCATGTTTTCGTCATCCACTTCCCAGCGGTGCGGTGCGACCTCCCCCTTCCCCGCAGACATTGCTTCATCGTTTGGTCTCGTCGCGCACAGTCAACCCGCAAGGGCCTTGAAAAGCCATGCCGACACTTCGCGGGCGGGGCGCGGCCAGCGAAAGCGGCCGAGGAAGGGCCGAAGGGGAAGGATGCAAGGGTACCCTCGGAAAGTCGCTCATCCTTACTATGAGCCTGTTTTTTTTTTTAGACTCTGGCAAATTTACTTGCATGGACGGGGGGGGGGGGCTGAGCCTGAAGCAAGCCCGGAGGGGGGGGGGCGCGCGGAAATCACACAAGTCGAAAGACACTTGCACGCTAGTATTCGCTTGAAGAGGGGCGAGAGGGGGGGGGGGGGGGGGGGGGCGAACGCCATGCAAGTAAACTTGCCTGAAGCAAAAAAAACAGGCTCTATGCTGGTCGACCGCAACCATTCCAGGACCCGCGCGGGCTTCTCGGATATCGGTGCGCTGCGCGCGCCAAGGAGGGTGGACCAACAACGCAGATGCGAGACTCAATTGAAAAAATGCAAACACAAAAATCTGCAGGCAACCCCCCGACAACCCAAACAACCCATGCTACTTCATGACAGCAAGACGATCTACACCGGACAACCCCTTGGACAACCCAGCGGGGATCCCGCAAATCCCCCCAGACACCCCCCCCTGGACAAGCCTGTCCAGGATTTTTCTTCCATAAGACACTGTGACCTAAAGGCCTCCTCGATGGGGTCCGAGCCGATGGTGTCGGAAGATCGCGCTGCATCGCCGATGCCTCGGCGATGCACTGGCAACGTCGGCGATGCACCGGCGACGGCGCTGCACCTGCGACGTCAGGATGGAGAAAATCGAGCTCCAAATCTAGCCGCATCGCCCATGCATTGGCGATGCGGCGAGAACCTCCGACCTCTATCTACTCGGACACCATCTAGGAGGCCCAGATCGACATCGGCCGATTCTGGACAACGGGCTGCGAGTAACCTTGAACGCTCGAGTAGGCAATTGATATTCATCGACTGCGCAATTGATATGCCCCAGAATTCACGGTTCGCCGAATATATGAAAGAGGTCTCGCTTCTCTGAGATTCAACGACCATTCAGCATATTTGTTTCTTGTTTCTGGTCGATTCGAAAACAAGTCGACGCATTCTTCGCAGATCTGACGTATGTTTCGTAGATTCGACGTAGCACGTTCGTAGATTGAAAATCTGTGTCGTGGATGGTAATCGATCCCCTACTCGAAACGCCCTCGCTGGGGTCGCCGCCGCGTCACCGCGGATCAGCTTCCGTGTGCGGCTTTCGTTGTTGTTCCTCGGTCCTCGGCCGCCTGCCGGTCCATGCCGTCCAGCTCCCCCGTGAAGCAAACCACGAGGCCCTGCATGGGCAGCGCCCTGGAGCCTCTGCCGGGGTAGGGCGGACGCGCCCCCCCGGAGATCCGACGTGCCGGCATTTCCTACACCCGGCGACATGGGGCTGCAGACCAAGAGGAGTTTTTGTATTGTACAAGCTGGCGGACCCAGTGGTCCAATGGTAAAAAATAGGAACGACTACTCCAAAATAGTCAAACCATAATCTGAAAAAATCGTCCCAAGAGTATTGTTTTACTATGTTTTACTTTTCCTCCTGTAGAGGGACAGGCCCGACTTGAGGCTACAGACCAAGAGGATATTGTATTGTACAAGCTGGCGGACCCCGTGGTCCAGCGGTGCAGCACGCGCTGCGCAAGCATGCGAGCACGGGGAAGTGCCGTCCTCGGTCCATCGGGTGTCACGCTCACGAGTTGCTTTCGGCCTCAGCGAGGCGCACCCTGGGCGAAGTGCAGTCAAAATTGGCAGTATGGACGCGTGCTCAGGATGTAAGCCCTTGTAGGCCGCTGCCGGAGCTCTTCGAGTGGGGCTGGCCATCGTAAGGGGTTAAGGATGGAGCGAGAAGGCAAGAATATTAAGGTATCATATGATAGGCGAACCTCCAGCGCCAACATCGTTCTTGCCGTAGTGAGGTTCCACTATACAACTGATTGCATACACGCGCAACATTTTGCCATTCAGATTGAATTGGAGCGATGCACCTCTTGTCTTAAGATGAAGATGCACATGCCATGTTCTATACGCGCAGAACCTGGGCGCCAACCAAACCATCCTGTGGTGTTGGGTCCCCATTTAAACGAGACAACGCCCCGCGTTCCTACTCCCCCTCCCCCTGCCCCTCCTCCTCCTTCTCCTCCTCCTCCCTCCTCCGCAATTCGCATGCGTCTCCCCCGCCCAGTACAACATTCCGTAGCCCCAGAGGGATCTCCACCGACGGCTCCAGTGGCGCAGTTCGCATGCGGCGCCCCCGTCCAGTACAGTTTTTCGTGGCCCCAGAGGGAGCTCCACCGAAGGTCCCAGTGACGCAGTTCGAATGCGGTTCCCCCATGCAGTAAAACGCTTCGTGGCCTCATAAGGAGCTCCACCGAAGGTTCCAGTGACGCAGTTCGCATGCGGTTCCCCCGCCCAGTACAGCGTTTCGCGGCCCCAGAGGGAGCTCCACCGAAGGTCCCAGTGGCGCAGTTCGCATGCGGTTCTTAAACCCAGTACAGCGCTTCGCGGCCCCATAGGGAGCTCCATCGAAGGTCCCAGTGGCGCAGTTCGCATGCAGTTCCCCCGCCCAGTGCAGGTTTCCTGGTCCCACAGGGAGCTCCACCGAAGGTCCCAGCGGCACAGTTCGCATGCGTCGCCCCCGCCCAGTACAACAATTCGTGGCCCCAGAGGGAGCTCCATCGACGGCTCCAGTGGCGCAGTTCGCATGCGGTTCCCCCGCCCAGTACAGCGCTTCGTGGCCCAATAGGGAGCTCCACCGAAGGTCCCAATTGCACAGTTCGCATGCGGTTCCCCCGCCCAGCGCAGCGTTTCGTGACCCCAGAGGGAGCTTCACGGAAGGTCCCAGTGGCGCAGTTCGCATTCGGTTCCCCCGACCAGTACAGCGTTTCGTGGCCCAACAGGGAGCTGAACCTCACAACTGCATATGGTTGGGTTCTTCGCCAGGCTAACGTTGCGTTGCTCAGCTGGAGAAGGCTGTACGTCGCCGATCTATCGGCGATAGGCCCTCGAAGGAAGCATTCGCCACCTCATGTGCGGGGTGGGCTATCGGGTACGCGTCGGCGATGACCGGGCGATTCGGGCTCGACGCACTCCACCCTGAGCCCTTCCCCCCCCCTACGTAGCGCTGCCCGTGGCTTCAAAGTTGCAACTCGAACCTCCGACAGCCGTTCGGAACAATCCGGGCACCCCCAGGACGCCCTCGGTCCGATGTGAAGCCGCTCCGAGGACCCCCGAGGCTGGAAAGCCGACGCGAGCCGACGAACACGTCAGAAAACCTTTGCAGCACGCCAAGACGATGACGATGACGATGAAGATGGTGATGATGACGATGACGATGACGATGACGATGGTGATGACGAGTGACGATGATGACGATGATGACGATGATGATGATGATGATGATGATGATGATGATGATGATGGAAAAGATAATGATTATGAATATGAATATGATGATGCTGATGGACTAATGTGGTGATGATGATGCTGATGATGATGATGCTGATGATGGTGATCCCTGCGTCAAAGGGGAACAGGAGCTTCCTGCTCATAGTGCTGCCGCTGCTGATGATGACGATGACAACGACGAGGACGATGATTATGATGACGACGATGATACTGATGATGATGCTGCTGCTGATGATGATGATGTTTATGATGATGATGATGATGATGATGATGATGATGATGATGATGATGATGACGATGATACCGATGATGATGATAATGATGATGATGATGATGATGATGATGATGATGATGATGATGATGATGATGATGATGATGATGATGATGACGATGGTGACGATGATGATGATGACGATGACAATGACGATGACAACGACGTTGACGCTGACGACGGCGATAACGATGACGCTGTCGCCCCAGCGGCGACAGCGGCGGCGACGATGACGGCGCCGCCTGGGGCAGCGGCCGCCCCGCCCGCCGCAGCGCCGAGCGCGGGGGCCGCCGCGCGCCTTGCGGCGGCGGGCGCGCCGCGGCCCGCGGGCGCCGCGGGCGCGGCCCCCGCGGGGGGCGGCGCCGCCCGCGGGGAGGGCGCCGTGGCGGCCGCCGCGGGCGGAGGCGCTGCCGCCGCGCCTCGCACTCGGCCGGCGGTCGGACGGGGGCCCACGGGAGGTCTTCGTAGTCACACCGCTGTCGTCGTCGCCGTCGTCGCCGCCGTCGCCGGCGTCGCCGCCGTCGCCGGCGTCGCCGCCGTCGCCGTCGTCGCCGTCGCCGCCGTCGTCGTCGTCGTCGCCGTCGTCGTCGTGGTCGTGGTCGTCGTGGTCGTGGTCGTGGTCGTCGTCGTGGTCGTGGTCGTGGTCGTGGTCGTGGTCGTCGTCGTCGTCGTCGTCGTTGTCGTGGTCGTCGTCGTCGTACCTTTCACACTGTGCACCCCTCATATGGTTTGTGGCTCCCTGAAGAGCTCCACCGAAGACCGCAGTGGCAAGGTTCGCATGCAGTTCCGAATGTATTTCGGCGCACCCTTCACACGGTTCGTGGCCCCATAGGGAGCTCCACCGATGGCAGGGTTCGCATGCAGTTCCAATCTAATTTCGGCGCAACCCTCACATGGTCCGTGACTCCATAGGAAGCTCCACCGATGGCAGGGTTCGCATGCAGTTCCAGCCTCATTACGGCTCGTAGGAAGCTCTAGCGAAGGCCCCAATGGCAGGGTTCGCTTTCAGTTCCACCTTCACTCCGGCGCACCCCTCACACAGTTAGTGGCCCCATAGGGAGCTCCACCGAAGGCCCCAGTGGCAGGGTTTACAAGCAGCTCCACCCTCATTTCGCGCACCCCTCACCCGGTTCGTGGCTCCATAGGAAGTTCCACCGAAGGTTCCCGTGGCAGGGTTCGCATTCAGTTCCGCCCTCACTCCGGCGCACCCCTCACACAGTTCGCGGCCCCGTCGGGAGCTCCACTGCAGGCCTAAGTGGCAGTGTTCGCAAGCAGTTCCAACCTTATTTCGGTGCACCCCTCACACGCTTCGTGGCCACATAGGGAGCTCCAACTAAGGCCTCAGTGACAGGATTAGTGTGCACTTCCAGCCTCATTTCGGGGCACCCCTTACACGGTTCGTGGCCCCTATGGGGAACTTTACCGAAGGCCTCAGTGGCAAGGGGTGCATGCAGTTCCACCCTCATTTCGGCGCACCCCTCACACGGTTCGTGGCCCCATGGGGAGCTCCACCAATGGCAGGGCTCGCATGCAGTTCCAGCCCCATTTCGGTGAACCCCCCACGCGCTTCGTGACCCCATAGGGATCTCCACCCAGGGCGCAGCGGCAGGGTTCGTAGGGCACTCCCGCCCCATGTCGACACCCCTCACACGTCAAGGGGCCCAAGGACACACAAATAAATACACACAAATAAAATGATTCCCCATATTTCCCTATATCTTCTGGGTTTGTGTCTTCCCGACCAATTCCCATATTTTCCTACCTATACGACCACCCTGCGGGTGATAAGGAGGTGAGGGGGGAGGGGGAACCAACGTCTCACTCAATCGATCTCGCTATCGATCTCACATTCGGTCTCACATTCGGTCTTACATCGGGACACCATCATCATCATCGACATCATCATCATCATCATCATCAACGTCATCATCATCATCATCATCATCATCATCATCATCATCATCATCATCATCATCATCATCATCATCATCATCATCATCATCATCGGGACACCATCAACATCATCATCATCAACATCATCATCACCATCATCAACATCATAATCAACATCCTCGTCATCGGGACACCATCTTCATCAACATCATCAACGTCATCATCATCACCACCATCATCATCACTATCATCACCATCATCACCATCATCACCATCATCATCTCACAATCGATCTGACTATCGATCTCACAATCGATCTCACTATCGATCTCACAATCGATCTCACATTCGGTCTCACTACCGATCTCACAATCGATCTCGCAATCGACGTCATCATCATCATCGTCAACATCAACATCATCAACATCATCATCATCATCATCATCGCCATCATCAACATCATCATCATTATTACCATCATCATCATCATCATCATCATCATCATCATCATCATCATCATAATCAGAATCATCATCATCATCATCATCAACATCATGATCGGGACACCGACGGGACACCGACGGGACACCGGCGGGACACCGGCGGGACACCGCGCGCCACCGGCCGCCCGGTGGAGAATCATTTGGTCCGGCCGCGCCTCAGCCACAGAGGACACCACCGGGACACCGGCGGGACACCGCGCGCCACCGGCCGCCCGGTGGAGAATCA